AGGCAGCCATTGTTTTGATTTCTGTTACCATAGGTTAGTTTGGTCTGTTTTAAAACTTCGTAGAAATACATATTTATTTTGGGTAGGGCTTCTTTCACTCAATATCAGGAAAATGCTTCTGAGATTGATTCATGTTGCTGTATGTAGCAGCAGTTTTTGCCTCTTGATTGTTGAGTTGTATTCAGTTGCTTAAGGACTCCACTACATATTTATCCAGTCTCCTTTTGCTATACATCCAGTCTAGATTGTGACTCTTATTTAGGCTTTTATGAACATTCTTGTACCAGTTTTATGTGGACATGAGTTTTTATTTCTCGTGAGTAAATACCCAAAAGGGGAATGTTGGTTTAAATTTACAAGAGACTGCCAATTTCCCAAAGTAGGTTGCTCCCAAGTATTCCAGTTGCTCTATATCCTTGTCATTATTTAGCATTGTCAGTTTCTCTAATTTTGGCCATTTTTAAATAGGTATGACCATTGGTGGGATTGTAAATTAATACAACCACTATGGAAATCACTACATCACTTCCTCAAAAGACTAGGAATGGAACCACCATATGACCCAGTTATACCACTAAAGAATTAAAGTCAGCGTACTATAGGGATACAGCCATACCCATACAATTTACAATAGCCACATTATGGAATCAACTTAGATGTCCATCAGTGGATGAGTAGAGAAAGAAAATGTGTGTATATATAACAATGAGTTTTACTCAGCCATAAAGAAGAATAAAATTATGGCATTTTGAGGAAAATGAATGGAACTCAAGAGCATAATCAAGGAAAATAAGCCAAACCCAGAAAGTTAAGGATTGTATGTTTTCTCTCATGTGGAAGTTAGAGAAAAGGGAAAATGAGGTTCATGGTGGGGGAGTCTAATGAAAATAGATGGGAGATCAGTAGAGCAGGGGGAAGGAGGAGGGGAAGGCCAGGCAAGGTACTAGGGAATGAATTTGGCCAAATTATGTTGTTATATTGTATGCATGTACAAATATGTTAGTAGTGAATTCCATTATTGTGTATAATTATAATGCATCAATATAAAATCTGGAAAAAAATTAGAAAATATGAAAAAGTATATTACATTGTTTTGATTTGCATTTTTTTCTGCGGACTAAATGTTGTTGAGCATCTTTTCATGGGTTTATTGACTAGCTCATATCTTTTGTGAAATAATCTGGTTAAAGTATTTTACCCATTTTTTGTTGGGCTGTTTGTTTCTTGGTCTTGAATTGTAGAAGTTCTTTATATTTCTAATACAAGTCCTGTGTCAGTGTCTTAGGGTGGGTTCTCCAGAAAACCAGCAGAGATTTGCATGCAGGAACTTTATTGGGGCGTGCTTCTGGGAATAACACCTGCGCGAAAATGAGCAGGATTTGGCAGAGGGAGAAGGTAAAGGGTAATTCAATTGCAGTTGAATTCCAGAGTCCTCAGCTCACCTCACAGCAGGCTCTGAAGCTGGATAGCTCTCTGAGATAGCTTGACCTCTGAGGCAAAGGGGTCAGACTTTCTGCTTCTCTCCCACACAGCTCCACGGCTAGTTACTGGGTGTGGACTGCCCTGGGAGAAGGGCTTGAACCTCATGTTGGTCATTTGGCTTATTTCCTCAAAGGGACTTGGCTGTGAGCCTTAGGTAGGCTACATTCCTAGCAGTCTGGGGAACAGGTGACTCCAGCCAGTAGGGGACCGAAGTGGACAGTATCACCACAGCATTCATCACAGATATATGTATCTCCACTACAGAAACATGCATTGTGAATATTTTCCACATTGTAGCTTGTCTGTGCATTTTCTTAATGAGTCAGCAAGCATTTTAAATTTTGACGTTGATTTTTTTTTCTTTTATGGTTCATTTTTTTTGTGTGTCCTTGCTGAGAAAATTCTGCCAGTCCTAAAATTGCAAAGATATTCTTCTACATTTTCTTCTAGAAGCTTTTGAGTTTGGGGTATATATTTAGGAATATAGTCCATCATGAATTTTTTTGTATGATGTGAGCTACCACCCAAATAATTGTTGCAAGCAATCAGCTCTTCCTCTTTTAGTACATTCCTCTCATCACTTCTCATCTTCTCTTAATTTGCAAAGCAGGGGCATCTTTCATATCTGTTTCTCAGAGTGGTGCACTGTAAAAATGCTGTCAGGACAGTTTTCTTCCCTAGCAATTTATTCATTGATTTGAATTATGGAGTTACAAAACTAAGTCCCTAAAAGGAATTAACATAATGGGTCTAGTTCAATTTTACCCTGATTTTTAAAAAATTTTTTATTTTGGTTGTAGATGGACACTTACCTTTATTTTATTTGTTTATTTTTATATGGTGCTGAGGATCAAATCCAGTGCTTCACACATCCCAGGCAAGCGCTCTACCACTTAAGCCTCAACCTCAGCCCCCTGAGTTTTGTTCTTCTTTAAGAATAATACTTTTAAATTAAGATGACGTTTATACATTGGTTAAAATACTGAAAAGACCAATTATCATGTCGCATTTTACGTAGCACAGACCTGTTTTTTCCACTTGTGTTCCCATTCTCACAGTTTGTCTCATTGAATACTGTGATTAGGAATGTTTTGAGGAGTTTAATAACATGGAAAAGAATCTTAGAATAAGATTCAATATTAAATAGTAAAAGAGTGATAGATACCATTTGTTCAGTTCCCAGAATGCTTCAATCACTTTTTTCTTTTGCCTCCTATATCTTCACAAAATAGTAGACATATTCTAAGCTGGGTGTGCAACGCCTGTAATCCCAGCAGCTCAGGAGGCTGAGGCAAGAGGATCATAAGTTTAAACCCAGCCTCAGCAATTTAGCAAGGCTGAAAGCAACACAGCAAGACCCAGTTTCTAAATAAAATATAGAAAAGGGCTGGGGATGTGACTCAATGGTTAAGTGCTTCTGGGTCCAATCCTTGGTACAAAAAAAGAAAGAAAGAAAGAAAGAAAGAAAGAAAAATAAAAAAAGAAATACTCTAACTGGATGTGGTGGCACATGCTTGTAATCCCAGTTACTCCAGAAGCTGGAGCAAGAGGATTGCAAATTTGAGGCCGTCCTCAGCAGTTTTGTGAGGACTTATCTCAAAATAAAGGCCTGGGGAGTTCATTCAATGGTAGAGTGCTACATTCAGTCCTCGGTACCACAAAACAAAATACATAGAAATATTTTTATTTCACAGAAGAAAAATTGAGATACTGAATTGTTAATGGATTAGGTCATGGATTCAGTGCAGGCTCCTCAACCAGTGCCCCAGCCCCTGGATACATTCAGACTGCTCCTTTCAGCTAATGGCCAAGTTGAATGTATGAAGAGCTGGCCTGGCTTGTGTACTGGGAATGGGGGACCTCTTGCCACAAGGCAAGTAGAAGCTGGTGTTGACTTTGCAGCAGTATTTCCCCTTTTTTCAAAAGACGCAGTGAGACATAGACCCCCCTGCCTAAACAAGGAGTCAGCAACATTTCAGTCAGTCTTTCAACTAAGAACCCATTTTCCTGTATAAATAGTATTTATAAAAGTTAGGAGCCAGGTGTAGTCCCCAGGGATTTGTGAGGCTGAGATAGAAGGGATCACAAGTTTGAGACCAGCCTGGACAACTTGTGCTTGGATGGATGGATGAATGGATAGATAGACAGATCCGTCTGGAGGGGTAGAGTAGTGGTAGAGTACCCCCAGTTTCAATCCTCAGTATTGCAAAAAGAATATGAAAAAGCTAGTCAGGCCCCCAGCCTCACAATTCAGTAGACTATCAGAGGTAATGTAGCTCCTGTTACTTTTGCTAATCTCCTCAAGGAAACTGAAATGGAAAGATTAAATATATAATGTATCATTAAATTACTGAAACTTATTTATAAGCACATATATAAACACCCCTTGTACTTTTGTTTTGGGTACTGGGGATGAAACCTAAGGCCTTGTGCACACTGAACGTGCTCTATTAATGAGCCTCATCCCCCAACTGCAGTTTATAGGATCATTTTTTATACTTCTAAGATACATGGAAGCCGTATTAGGATACACTGTTGCTTCAACATACTTTGAAACCTGAATTTTTTTATTTTGTTTGACAGGAAACAGTCTCTCAGACAAGCCAGGGTAAAAAGAAAATAATTGGAATTAAGTTGGATTAAAACTATAGAACAATTTTAGTATTGACATCTAAATGCATTTTTTAATCATATGAATAATACATGTTCATTGTAGATAAATCACAAATGTTTATAAATTATATATTATGTTACATATCATATGCTTATAAAGTAAAAATTTGTTATGTTGAATGTGTGCTTATTCAACTTTTATGTATTCTTTTAAAATAAATATGAAATTATTAATACATATTGTTTACCGTCAGCTTTTTCCACAAAGCTGCACATCATGACTTTATATATCGATGAATAGACATTGAGATATATTATAATTTTTCTGGCTGAGTGCTGTGGTGCTGTGATGAAGTGCTACACTTTAGTTAGCTAATCTCCTTTCTTGGATATTTAAGTTCTCTTAGGTTTGCACTCTTAATAAGTGTGGTGGTCATCTTTGATTAGTTCTTCCTCATGATCAATTTCAAGAAGTGAAATTTCTGAATCAAAAAATTCACTTTTACCTTAAACTTTGGGGAAGAATGAGGCATAGGAAGGAGAAGGGGAGAGAGCACCAACAAGAATTCACATTTTTGTGGCTTTTTATATTTTCTTTTCTTTTGGAGTACTGGGGATTGAACCCAGCATCTTGCCCATGCTATGCAAACTTGCCCACTGTACCATGTGGGATCCTCCTGTCTCAACCTCCTGAATAGCTGGGACTACAGGTGTGCACCAATGTGTCCTCAGTGCTTTAATTGGCATTAATTATTCATTAAGCTGACCTTTTTCATGTTTACTGGCCATTGTAGGTATGGGTCTCACAAATACACACAGTTCATAGTCTTGATGATAGATACTTCACAGACTATTCCCCATACATTAATCAGTCTCTTAAGTGGTTTCTCTTGTTTTCTCTCCAGGAACGACTGAAACTGGTGACTGTTTTGGGTGCTGGCCTTCTCTGTGGAACTGCACTGGCTGTCATTGTGCCTGAAGGAGTACATGCACTTTATGAAGATATTCTGGAGGGTGAGAAAAGAGAAGGCCCTTGAGATATGTTATTGATTTGGGAGGTGGCAGGAGAAAAAGGAAGCTTAATGTTATTTTTTCTGAACACAGTTCAGGTTTACCCTAGAATTCTACCCTAAGAAGAGTTCTTAACAGCTATGGTTTAACACTTTTGACATTGAACACATCCTTAGAAGTTTGTGAATTGAGTACTCTGGTTCATGAATACCCGCGTTACAATAATCAGTAACATCCAGTCCTTTATGACAGTTCTTTTTCTTTTTTTAATACCTTTATTTCATTTACTTATGTTCATGTGGTGCTGAGGATCAAACCCACTTCCTCACATGTGCTTGACAGGTGCTCTACTACTGAGCTACAACCCCAACCCCTACCCCTGATAGTTATTTTCAGTGCCACTCAAAAACTCCCCAAATCCCACATGGTAGTGCTTATGATTTTAGTGATCTTTAATTCAAAAATACATATTTGTATTTACATTAATCTTTGTAATTGGGGAAGACCAAATTGAGGAGGATAACTAAAAAATTAAAAGAAGCCTTTCCTGACTTTCATAGTAATGAGTATAAAGAACAGTATAGTTTGGTTAGCTTGGTGTACTCATCATCCAAGTGATTTGGTCTTCATACCAGCTCAAAAGTCTGTTTGATTCACATTTGTGACTCAGTAAAATCAGATTATCATACTCATGAAACTTTATAGTTACCTCTGAAGGATTGAAATTACAACTAAGTAAGAGAACTGAGTCCTCAAATGCCAGTTAGATATCTGCTCAACATTAGGAAAAGTGTAAAGAAATGGGCATGGTGGTACACACCTGTAATCCCAGTTGTGCAGGCTGAGGCAGTAGGATCAAAAATTCAAGGCCAGCCTCGGCTGCTTAGCAAGACCCTATCTCAAAATAAAAAATAAAAAGGGCTGGGGATGTGGCCCAGTGATACAGAGTGCTTGCCTAGTTGCCTAGTATGCACAAGGCTCTGGGTTCAATACCACCACCACTAATAATAATAATAATAATAGTAATATAAAGAGGTAAGCATCTTCCAGGTTTCTTTCTAAATATAACACATACTTTTTTGGCTCTTGGTAGAGGAAAAGAACTGTGTCCCTGTGTCCTTTCTCTAGAATGATGGTGCTTTTATGCCTGAGACGTGAATATGGGCATCATGGTGTTTGGTAGCCAGAGTGGTAGAGAGATTATATATGAAGATTGTGGGGGTCTTGTGAAATAGGACAGAGGCTGAGGATTGGTCAGCTTTAGGGGAAACAATCGTAAATCAGGAGCCCTAGAGCAGTGGTTTCTACTTTTTTTTTGTTATACATCCTACCATGAGGGAAAAATTATTTACATGTCCTGTTGCACCGATTTACTGTGTACATTATAAAACATATTCCTAAAATAGAAAACTTTTGAAGTGGGCTAGGGTTGTACCTCAGTGGTAGAGCACTTGCCTAGGATGTGTGAGGCACTGGGTTCTATTCTCAGCACCATGTATAAATAAATGAATAAAATAAAGGTCCATCAACAACTAAATATGTATACACACACACACACACACACACACACACACACACACATATATACAAAAAAATTTTTCAAATAAGGAGGGGCTAGGGTTGTGGCTCAGTGATAAGACCGTTTGCCTAGCATGTGTGAGGCACTCGGTTCAATTCTCAGCACCACATATAAATAAATAAAATAAAGGTCCATTGACAACTAAAAAAAAAAATTTAAAAAAGGAAAAACTTTTGAGATTTAAAGTAAATATTATAGAAAATCAGTATTTTTCTTTCATATTCCAGTGAATCATCTTGAATTTTTCAGGAATATGATTACTTCACTATAGAAATGACCATCTCTAGTATACTAGAGAACATTCAGAACATAACTAAATAGACCATTAAAAATGTTTTTGCTTGATGTTGAAACTAAGAAAGAATTATGAATGGTGGTTGAAAATTTGTCTAAACTTGTCTGATAATAAAAGTTCCTTGAGGAAGAGGTACATTTTACAAGCAACTTTCTCCCTCCCAGCCTAGACCATTGAATTAAAATCTCCAGGAAAAGGGCCTGGGAATATTTATTTTCAACAAATTGTCTTTGGTTCTTATTAGACAAGTTTGGGAAACACTGGAGAAATTAAGTTCTTCAGGTAATTTGGTGTTTTATGTGTGTATGTGTATGAGAGGGAGAATGCCTACACCTTAATAAGGGTTTGAGATATAGCCTATGATTCATTTTGATATAATTTTGCGTGTAGTGTGAAGGTTTATATTTTGACATATCGATGGATGTTCAATAGTTCCACCATCATTTGTTGAAAAGAGCATCCTTTGTCTTACTGAATTGTCTGCAACATTGTCAATAATCATTGACCAGATTTGTGTTGATCTATTTCTGGATTCGCTATTCTGTTTTTCATTGATCTGTATGTCTATCCTTTGTCAATACTACATTGTCTTGATGAATGTAGCATTATAGCAGATCTTAAAATCAAGTGATGAGTTCTTCTGACTTCATTCTTATTTTTCAAATTTGTTTTGGCCTTCCATGTATCCTTTTGCTTTTCCATAAAAACTTCAGATTCAGCTTGTCAGTGTCCAAAAAAAAAAAAAAAAAAAAAAAAACACTGATTCTGGTAGACATTGAGTTGAATCTATTAATTTGAGGGAAAACCAATATTTTAAAATACTGTGTCTTCTGGTTCCTGAGCACATGTATCTTTCCATTTATTTAGGAGTTCTGTGATTTCTTTCATCAGTATTATTTTTAATGTTCTCACTTATATTCTGAAAGATACTTATAGAATTGATAATAGTTTCTTAATTAAATATTGGGTAAGCTTTCTGTATTGGGAGGTATATAACTATAAATTCAATTTCCTTGGTAGATATAAGACTGTTCCAGTTTCTTGTTTCTTCTTGAGTATGCTTTGGAAGTTTGTACCTTTCAAAGAATTGATATTTTTTTTCCAGATTGAAGAATTTAAGAGCATAAAGTTGTTGGTATCCTTAATTGTAATGAGGTCTTCTCTTTCATTCCTGACATTAATAATTTGTCTTCTCTCTTTTTTACTTTGTTATTGTAACTAGAGGCTTATCTGTTTTATTTTTTTTTTCCAAAAAGTTGTTTGATTTCATTGATGTTTTTTCCTATTGATTTTTCTGCTTTCTGCTTCATTGATTTCTGTGCCTTTTATCTTCCTTTTGCTTGCTTTGGGCTTTTCTTGATTGTCTTTTTTCAAATTTCTTTAGGTAAGAAGGTTATTGATTTGAGATCTTTCTAATGTAATTTTTTTTTAAATTGTAGATGGACACAATACCTTTATTTTATTTATTTATTTTCATGTGGTGCTGAAGATTGAATCCAGTGCCTCACAAGCACTGTGCTACTGAGCTACAATTCCAGCCCCAATTAAGAATTTAAGGGCTGGGTTGTGGCTCAGCAGTAGAGCACTCATCTAGCACATGCAAGACCCTGGGTTCGATCCTCAGCACCACCTAAAAATAAATAAATAAAATAAAAGTATTGTGTCCAACTACAACTAAAAAAATAAAAATAATTTTTTAAAAAAATTTAATGCTATAAGTTTCCCTCTAAGCAGTGCCTTAATTTTAATGTGCCATGTTTTAGAGAATTTTTTAATATTTATTTTTTAGTTCTCGGCGGACACAACATCTTTGTATGTGGTGCTGAGGATCGAACCCAGGCTGCTCGCATGTCAGGCGAGCGTGCTACCGCTTGAGCCACATCCCCAGCCCGCTATGTTTTAAATCTTCATTCATTTTCTAATTTTCTTTGCAACTTCGTCTTTTACCTATATGCTATGTAGAAGTGTTGTGTCATTACATTTGGGCAATATCCTGCTCCCCATCCTACACTCCCTCCATGGCATTCTTTTTATTTCTGATTTCTAGTTTAATTTCATTTTGGTTAGAGGACAAATTTAGTATGATTTGAATACTTATAAATTTGTGGATATTTTAAATAGCCTAGAATATGGTTTATCTTGTTAAATGCTCAAGGTTCACTTGAAAAAAATGCGTTTTGTTATTACTTGGTTGAGTAATGTATAAATGTCAATTAGATTGATCCCCAATATAGAAAAAAAAAAAAAGAAAAAGTCAAGTTCCTTGATGATGTTGATTTTCTATATACTGATTTTCTGCTTATTCCATCTCAAATTGAGGTAGAATATTAAAGTATTAAAGTATGATCATAGATTTGTCTATTTGATCTTTCTATCAGTTTTTGCTTTATGTATAATGAAGCTCTTTGGTCAGGTGCCTACACATTTAGGATTGCTATGCCTTGGCGAATTGGCCTTTTTAATCATATGTAATATCTCCCTTTATTCCCAGTAATATTTTTAATGTAGCCACTCAGTTTTCTCTACATTTTTGTACCAGCATATTTCATAGTATATCTTTTCCCGTCCTTTTACTTTTAGCCTATATCATTAATTTTATTTAAAGTGAATTTTTTTATGAATAGCATATAGTTTGATCATTTTTTAAAATCCAGTTTGACGATTTCAGTCTTCTGATTGATGTGTTTAAACCAGGGGTCAACAAACTTTTTCTGTAAAGCATCAGATAATAAATATTTTAAGCATTGGGAGCCATAGGATCTCATTGGTACTATTTAACTCTGCTGTTGTAGCCAAGTTCACAGATTCTTTCCTCGATCATCTTTGTTCTGCTATTGATCCTATCCAGTATCTTTACTATTTCAGATATTTTTCAGTTCTAAAATTTCCACTTGATTCCTTTTTATAGTTTCTGTTTCTCTGCTGAGGACTTCCATTCATATGAAATGTCTTTACCTTTACCTCAGAGAGCCTAGTTAACAGTAGCTGCTTTTAAGTCTTTGCTTAATCCAATGTTTGTCGAGGTAAGGTTGAGTTGATTGTTTTTTGCCTCTGTTAATTGACCAGATTTTCCTGTTTCTTTCTTTTTGATTTGTATCCTACACATTTTGTATATTATAGTTTGAAACT